GTAATCTGCTTTAACTTGTCATGAGCACTTACACTGAAAAAGCATGGACATTTTTAACACAGTGAAAAGAAAAGTCAGCACATAAATGGTATGCTGAGGTTTATTAATTCTTACCTGTAGTTACCAGAAGTAGAGTTACACAGACTAAAGACACAAACTTGTGTACTTGCTAAAGCATCTTTGACAAGTCTTGCCAGTCACTGAAATATCTCTGAAAGTATTTTGGGAATATTAATCTCCAATAGCTGTTTTGCATTTTTTGGAAAATGTTTCTGATAACTGGAATAAAATAAATTCATGAATCACTTGCAATAGCATCTGCTGTTGTGCATATAATAATACAGACTGTTAAAATATCTGGGGATTTCAAGTCACAAATTAAATTAAATAAACCCAATGAGCCTTGCAGTGAAATAAAAAAATTACATTAAATGATAAATAATCCAATAAGTTAAATCAAATTCTATTATTTGTTTTGCAAGCCAATTATTATCATTATAGAGAAAACAAGTTCAAATGCTATTCCAAAACTGAATGATAATTAGCTGTTTTCAAAGTCTAGTGGATGGGAATTTTTAACCGTGCATGAATACAGTTATCATTCAATCAAACATTCATTAGAGTTTGCATCCACATATTCACTCAGTTTCCTCTTTCAGTTTACTGAGTAAAGAAGCTCTTCACCTTTGACACCAGCCCTCAAATTATCCAATGAAGTCGAACAGCGTAGTTGTAGAACACTGGTTGTCAAATATGCAATATGAGGGGTAATAATTACGTTTGACATGTTTAATAGTGGGTGGTCCCTAGGAAGAACTGGTGGGTCTGTGACATCTAATGCTGCAGCTTTTATAACACCCTTCTGTAATGCCACAGTAAGATTATCATGATTGACAGTTTCTCCACGACCTACATTAATAAGTGTTGCTGTAGACTTCATAATACTAAGTTCCTCTGCTGAAATGAAATTGGTTGTTTCAGGGGTCAATGGTAAGCTCAGAACAACAAAGTCAGATGCTGTCAAGAGCTCCTTTAATTCCAAACAGAATGTAGCACCTGAATTTTATGGAGAAAAGAAACAAAAATAAGTAAGAAATACCATAGTGATGATGTTCCTCAATTGGGGTTTATGACAATATGTAGGTTCAATTGAGGCCTGTTACTACATATAGCCTCTATCTCCACTATAAGACATGGAATAAGAAGCCAAAAAAATAACAATTCAGGCTTACATTGTAAATGAGGTTTAAATCCTACTTACAATTACAGAAACCATAACTTCTCACAAAAATTCAAATTCAAGTAAACAAGAAATTTAGGGATATGGCTATTTTTTCTCAAGGACCCTTCCCACTATCATTCAGTTTAATTCACTCACCCACCTCATAAAAGTTTATGGTTACCAATTATCCTGGAACAGTTGGGGGGGGGGGGGGGTTTCTTGTGGGATCAAAAATTACCTCCTAGATATAAAAAGGTGACTGATTTTAGACAATACTTTTGAGGAATATCACCATTGAGACCCCACAGCCACAATTGTGTGAACTTGGCTTAGTTTAAGTTATTGTAGACTATTTGAGAGTACAAGTTACTCTGAAAATCATCTTGATCCGCATCAATTGTTACCTGAATATATTTCCAGCTCTTCTTTCCTCGTCCGACAATGATATAAAATGTTCATTTTGAATCCTTTAGCTCTCTCAGCAATTGCTCTTCCAATGTTCCCAAAACCAACAAGGCCAAGAGTTGAACCAGTCACTTGTGATGGAGGAATCCAGCGAGAAATATTCTAGTAAAATAAAGTTAGCTTCTTATTAATTATTCTATTGTAATACTTAGGGATCACTTTCATACCAAGTATCTGAAATTACCTTATAGACTCCTGTTTATGTAACAGACACTTAAAAACTCAATGATCTCGTTAAAAATGAACTCCTCCCCCCCATCTGACATCAGATTAGACTTCAAAAAAAAATGCCACACAGGTTATTTAGCTATATATCATATATCTGTTTCAGGAGAGACTCTGCATCAATCTGCTCTTCAAATACTAGTCCAACAACATTTGTGTCAACAAGAATGACAATTCATCGCTACATGCAAACTGGACAATTTCAAGTGCTTGACTTACAAATCCACCCAGTTTAAATTATTCCTCTTCTTCTACACATTTTAGGAAAAATTACACCAATCAATACAGTTTTGAAAGTAATCCAGAAATTTCCGTCAACACTCAGAAGTCTTTCGGAAATTTCTGTAATCCGTCGGAGTCTTTTCGAGATGGAGGATACAATCTTACCGCTGATTGTGCTGCATCAGACGACTTTGCTACTTCGTTCGCTTGTAAAATTGACCTCGCAGATGCCAACAGCAAACCGAGAGCAAACTCTGCGACGGAATCGCTGTTAAAATAGCCCGGAACATGACCTACACGAATTCCACGTGCGGTAGCTTCCTCTACATCAATGTGATCCACACCTGCGCTTGGAGTACTGATCACTTTTAAATTCGGCAGCAGGTCCATAATTTCTCTGTTCACTCTCATTTTTGAACGTCTAAATCCATGGTTACAAATTATTCCTTTCACTTTTTCCCGCTCGTTTTGGCTCAGATCAGCGACTTTCACTCCGTGGATGAGAATAAAATCGTCCTTAAATGAACGCTCGGCAAGTTCTAACATCATAGGCAATGGAGAAGTCGAAGGAACCAAACACAACACAAGTGGACGTGAAGACATCGTAAAAGATTTCCAAAGATTGTAAAAGGCCAGCACTGTGATTATATTGAAAAGTGATATGAAAGGGCTCCGTTAACGTAAAAAAACGCTAAAAATTACACCCCGTCTGCCGGTTACAACCTATGACTAAAGGTCTGGTCTCCAATAAGTATACGTGACACCAGGTGAGTCTGACCTGTGACAAAAAACAAAAACATAGGCGTGCTATGCATGCAAGAGTTGTTTTTTGTGGAGTGGGTGGATTACTTGAAACATTGTAAGTTATGTCTACATTCTTACAAAAAGAAAGAAGAGTATTAACGCGAAAAAGAACGAAAATGTCTGTGGTCTTCACCTTTACTCTCATTTCGATGTATCTCAACAGATTTCAAGGAAGTAAACAAGATTTGATTGACAAGCGGGAGACTGGTTCAAGTTAGAATCGATAACAAATCGATACTACCACTGACGATTGAGTTTTATCACTAACGATTGATATGTTGGCAATATTTGATTAGTTCATCTTTGCTTAACAAGCGGGAGACTGATTCAAGTTAAAATCGATAACAAATCGATACTAGCACTATAAACGATTGAGTTTTATCATCAGCGATAGTTATTTTAGCACTAACGATTGAGTTTTATCATCAGCGATAGATATTTTAGCACTGACGATTGAGTTTTATCACTAACGATTGATATTTTTGGCACAAATGGCCCTCCATACTCAGAGCACCGATAGTAAGAAATACGCAGGCAAGGGTTCATGGGATCATTGACCAAATGCATCGACGCAAACACATTGATGACATGACTAACAAATGGCTTTCACAAACTCCAAATCCGCCTCGCGAAAATACACAAACTTACACCGGTCGGTAGACCTATCATCGCAGTTTGTGACGACCCTACTGCGAGAATGTCATATTTTGTGGAGACACTACTCCAGCCTATTGCGCAATTGCAACAATCCTATATAAGGGATACCACTGCTTTTTTTAATTTCTTAGAAAGAACAAAGATAAGCAAAGATTCTATTGTGGTATCAATAGGCGTTTCTAGCTTAATTGTACACAAATATACCTCCAGAAGAAGGAACGAATATAGTATGCGAAGCATACTAAAAAGTTCCACAACCATATCGCACCGATCCCAACGTACTACCTCAGGGCAATGCTTGGCTTAATCCTTAAAGAAATTCGTTTCAATTCAACGAGGAGAACTTCCTCCAAACATATGGAACCGCTATGGGTACGAAAATGGCAGTATCACGATCGTTTATTTCCTTTTGTCACAACGTACCACCCGGCATTTAAAAATTGAAAACAAATACTGGTGGGGCATCGGGGTCTGATACACAGTTAGCTCTTGTTTACAAAACCTCCGATCATCTCTTACAAAAAGGGAAAATCCCTTGTGAGGGCAAAAACATAATTAGAAGGCGATAATGCAACGCGACCACAAAAGCCACATGGGGAGGTCGAGACCTCCGCCGTTTCGGAGCATGCCCACAACACCGGACACAAGCCAGTCTGGAACGAAGTAAAGTTTATTGATCGTGACCCATATTACTACACGCGCAGGGCCAAAGAGGCAATTCAAATAAGACTTCACCCTAACAACATCAACAGGGATAGTGGAATGGAAATTCCAGAAGCGTGGATGCCCACGATCAAAAAACACAACAACAGGAGAGCCGTGCGACAGCGGACCGCCGAGGGAGCAAATCATTGATCAGCAAGGATCGAAATGCACCAATCAGAGCTGTTGAAAAACAACTAATCACAGCAGAGCATCATGCTTTCTAAGATCACGCATGACCAGTCGACCTCATCGCCTGAAGAAGACTAGCAGTATGCAGTCGAAACGTCGCGATCTACATCACACGTGACTACATCGTGAGACAAACGAAAAACTTAGCTTTTATAGAACAATAGTGTTCACACTGCAGTATTCTTTGAAAAAGTAGATTACAAACTTGCAAGAATTTAGGATGGGGCTCCTAAAACTTCATAATTTCAATTCTATAATACATATTTTCAAATCATGAAATCCGCTGTAACTTAACATGAGCACTTAAACTGAAAAAGAAAGGAAATGTTTAACTAGGAAGGGTTAACTCCCATGAGTAACTAAGACAGAATTTCTCCTTACAATATCAATACAATATCAAGCAGATAACTAATGAGAATAAAGAAAAATATCAATTTGGGTATAATTAATTGATCCAATGCTAAATTCTCTGAACTAACATTCTAAGAATTGTATAATTAACAGTAAGAAGAATTACAAATTTGATCTGGGAGTTAAAGGGTTAATACAGTGAAAAGACAGGTCAGAAAAGTCAGCACATGAATGGTATGCTGAGGTTTATTAATTCCTAACTGTAGTTACCAGGAGTAGAGTTTTATGCACTGAAGACAAACTTGAGCACTTGCTAAAGCATCTTTTGCAAGTTTAGCCAGTCATTGTAACATCTCTGAAAGTATTTTGGGAATAGTAATCTCCAGTAACTTTTTTGCATGTGTTTGAAAATGTTCCTGATAACTGGTCAGGAATAAGATAAATTCATGAATCACTTGCAATAGCATCTGCTCTTGTGCATATAATAATAAAAACTGTTAAAATATCTGGGGATTTCAAATCACAAATCAAATCAAATAAACTCAATGAGCCCTGCAGTGAAATCAACAGCCATACACCCTGTCAAAAAGTTACATACTGGCAAGGAGTTAAATCAAATTCTATTATTTGTTATTTGTTTTGCAAGCCTTCAGGACAATTATTATCAATATAGTGTAAACAAGTTCAACTACTTAGCATTTCCAAAACTGAATGATAATTAGCTGTTTTCAGAGTCTAGTGGATGGGAATTTTTAACAGTGTATGAATACAGTTATCAATCAATCAAATAATCATCAGTTTGCATCCATGCATTCACTTAATTTCCTCTTTCAGTTTACTGAGTAAAGAAGCTCTTTATCTTTGACACCAGCCTTTAAATTATCCAGTGAAGTCCAACAGTGTAGTTGTTGAACATTGGTTGTCAAATATGCAATATGAGGGGTAATAATCACATTTGACATGTTTAATAGTGGGTGGTCCCTAGGAAGAACTGGTGGGTCTGTGACATCTAATGCTGCAGCTTTTATAACACCCTTCTGTAATGCCACAGTAAGATCGTCATGATTGACAGTTCCTCCACGACCTACATTAATAAGTGTTGCTGTAGACTTCATAATACTAAGTTCCTCAGCTGAAATGAAATTAGTTGTTTCAGGCGTCAATGGTAAGCTCAGAACAACAAAGTCAGATGCTGTCAAGAGCTCCTTTAATTCCAAACAGAATGTAGCACCTGAATTTTATGGAGAAAAGAAACAAAAATAAGTGAGAAATACCATAGTGTACCCATCTTGTGATGATGTTCCTCAATTGGGGTTTATGGCAATATGTAGGTTTAATTGAGGCCTGTAACTACATACAGCCTCTATCTCCATTATAAGACATGGAATAAGAAGCCAAAAAAATAACAATTCAAGCTTACATTGTACATGAAGTTTAAACCCAACTCACAATTACAGAAACCATAACTTATTCTCACAAAAATTATTCAGATTTAAGTAAACAAGAAGTTTAAGGATGTGGCCATTTCTTTCTCAAGGACCCTTCCCACTGTCTTTCAGTTTAATTCACTCACCCACTTCATAAATCATAAACATTTATGGTTACCAATTATCCTGGAACAAGTGGGGGAGGGGGGGGGTATCTTATGGGATCAAACATTACCTCTTAGATATAAAAAGGTGACTGATTTGAGACAATCCTTTTAAGGAATATCACCATTGAGACCTCACAGCCACAATTGTGTGAACTTGGCTTAGTTTAAGTTGTTGTAGACTATTAGAGAGTACAAAGTTACTCTGAAAATCACCTTGATCCGCATCAATTGTTACCTGAATATATTTCCAGCTCTTCTTTCCTCGTCCGACAATGATATAAAATGTTCATTTTGAATCCCTTAGCTCTCTCAGCAATTGCTCTTCCAATGCTCCCAAAACCAACAAGGCCAAGAGCTGAACCAGTCACTTGTGATGGGGGTATTGAGCAAGAAATATTCTAGTAAAATAAAGTTAGCCTCTCATCAATTATTCTAGTGTAATACTTAGGGATCAATTTAATACCAAATAGCCGAAATTACCTTATAGACTGCTGTTTATGTAACAGACACTCAAAAACTCAATGATTTCATTAAAGTTAAACTACTCCCCCCCAACCAAAATGGGCTAACTCACTGACACTAGATTAGACTTCAAACAAAAAATGCCACACAAGTTATTTAGCTGTATATCATATATCTGTCTCAGGAGACTCGTGATTCTACATCAATCTGCTCTTCAAATACTAGTCCCACAACATTAGTGTCAACAAGAATGACCATTCATCGCTACATGCAAACTGAACAGTTTCAAGTGCTTGACTTACAAATCCACCCAATTTAAATTATTCCTCTTCATCTGTGCATTTTGGGAAAAATTACACCAATCAATACAATTTTGAAAATTGTCCAGAAATTTCTGTCAACCCTCAGAAGTCTTTCAGAAATTTCTGTAAGCCGTCAGAGTCTTTTTGAGATGGAGGATACAATCTTACCGCTGATTGTGCTGCATCAGATGACTTTGCTATTTCATTTGCAAGTAAAATTGACCTCGCAGATGCCAACAGCAAACCGAAAGCAAACTCTGCAACGGAATCGCTCGTAAAATGGCCTGGAACATAACCTACACGAATTCCACGTGCAGTAGCTTCCTCTACATCAATGTGATCCACACCTGCGCTTGGAGTACTGATCACTTTTAAATTCGGTAGCAGGTCCATAATTTCTCTGTTCACTCTCATTTTTGAATGTTTAAACCTACTGCATAGTATTCCTTTCACTTTTTCCCGCTTGTTTTGGCTCAAATCAGCAAGTTTCACTCCGTGGATGAGAATAAAGTTGTCCTTAAACGAACGCTCGGCGAGTTCTAACATCATAGTCGGTGGAGAAGTTGAGGGAACCCAACACCACACAAGTGGATGTGAAGACATTGTAAAAGATTTCCAAAGATAGTAAACACCAGCCAGCACTGTGATTATATTAAAAAGTGATATGAAAGGGCTCCATTTACGTAAAATATGTTAAAAATTACACCCCCTCTGCAGGTTATAACTTATGACTAAAGGTCTGGTCTCCAATAAGTATGTGTGACACCAGGTGAGTCCGCTGATCCGTGACAAAAAACAAAAACATAGGCTTGCTGTGCATGCAAGAGTTATTTTTTTATAAAATAATTCAAATAGTACGCGCGCTCTGATTGGCCATAAAACTATTTTACATGAGCGTATGTAAACACGGTTTTCGTTCCTCTTTCATTAGTCATTTTATAAAAGAAATGTAAAATGGTTTCCGTGTTTATATAGTCTGATGTACATCGCCAGAAATCAAGGACATTTCGAGCCCGCTAACAATTATCAGTGGTATATCGTATTACACTCCGTGACAATAGAATATCACGAGAATTCAATATGCCGGCGATCACGGCTCGATCTGCAAAGAAGAGTGTTTCGTACCATGACTTATACAATTTGAGCACCGCAGATCTTCTATTTGATGAAAAGAAAAAGAAAAGAAGACCTGCAAGTAAATCTTTGAGATTTTTCGAGGCAGAGCGATGAAATGATGTCAGAATTTTGATTTGCTTTAATTTAATTTTCGCGCTAAGACTACTGAATTTGCATTCAATGCCTGGCATATTTTTATTCCGAAAAGGACCGAGAACTAATTTATTTCCCTGCAAGAATATAAACAAATATGGCCAACGATTCGAAGATCAGCGTTGCTCGTGTTTAACTATTTCAGTCATAGTTTTCAACATGGCGTCTCGTCACTTACTCAACGTGAAAAAAAAAGGATATTCTGGCGCGTTGGGAACTTTTTTGATGGGAGGAAATGGCAATTTTACAGGATATTTGGACGCTTCGAACTCTGTAGCAATCAATTCGATCGAGAGCAGTTGACTTTATTTATGCACTTTCCTGTAATAGACGAGTGTTTGGGATGGAGAACGACGGATGTTGAAGAACTGTATGGCGACCTAGGTCAATAATCAATGACAAAAGAACTGGCTCGGGAAGTAAGTGGTTTTTATTTATCGAGTCCCTGTGAGGTTTGATGAATAGCAGAATCAGTACTGAATATGTCTCGATCGAAAGCAGACGGGACCATGAGCTCCTGATTGTTATATTTTAGAAATTTTACAAATTTCCATACAGTTTCTTATATTATTTGGACGCCATTATGGACGAAATGCGTAAGCGCGGCCGCCATCTTGTCCAATATTTCTGCCGATGAAACACTTGGGAGGTTGGGAGAACACTCGATAAGCTGGAAACCACTCCGCTATTGTAGCACTAACGATTGAGTTTTATCATGTTGTAAATGGTTACAATGATTTTCAATGACGAAATGTAAAAAATTCACATGATCAACATCAATGATAACAGAGCCATTATCTAAGTCCTTAGATAGGTGTTTAAAATAGCATGCTAATGTCTAAAATCAGACACTATATGGTAAACAATTTTACACTAGTGTCTAGAAATAGAACACTAGTGTTTATAATCTGATACCAGTGTCTAATATATAGAACAATAGTGTTCACACTGCAGTATTCTTTGAAAAAGCAGATTACAAACTTGCAAGAATTTAGGATGGGCTCCTAAAATTTCATAATTTCGATTCTATAATACATATTTTCAAATCATGAAATCCGCTGTAACTTATCATGAGCACTTAAACTGAAAAAGCAAGGAAATTTTTTAACCCTTTAACTCCCAGTTTGTTATTTGTTTTGCAAGTCTTCAGGACAATTATTATCAATATAGTGTAAACAAGTTCAACTGCTTTGCATTTCCAAAACTGAATGATAATTTGCTGTTTTCAGAGTCTAGAGGATTGGAATTTTTAACCATGCATGAATATAGTTATCGATCAATCAAACAATCATTAGAGTTTGTATCCACGCATTCACGTAATTTCCTCTTTCAGTTTACTGAGTAAAGAAGCTCTTCATCTTTTACACCAGCCTTTAAATTATCCAATGAAGTCGAACAGCGTAGTTGTTGAACATTCGTTGTCAAATATGCAACGTGAGGGGTAATAATCACATTTGACATGTTAAATAGGGGGTGGTCCTTGGGAAGAACTGGTGGATCTGTGACATCTAATGCTGCAGCTTTTATAACCCCCCTCTGTAATGCCACGGTAAGATCATCATGATTGACAGTTCCTCCACGACCTACATTAATAAGTGTTGCTGTTGACTTCATAATCCTGAGTTCTTCTGCTGAAATGAAATTAGTTGTTTCAGGGGTCAATGGTAAGCTCAGAACAACAAAGTCAGATGCTGTCAAGAGCTCCTTTAATTCCAAACAGAATGTAGCACCTGAATTTCATGGAGAAAAGAAACAAAAATAAGTGAGAAATACAGAAGTGTACCCATCTTTAATGATGTCGTTAATATTGTTTATGAAAATATGTAGGTTCAATTCAGGCCTGTAACTAAATATGGCCTCTATCTCCACTATAAGAAATGGAAAAGGAAGTCAAAAAATAAAATTTCAGGCTTACATTGTAAGTGATGTGTAATCCTGCCTTACAATTACAGAAACCATTACTTCTTCTGACAAAAAATTCAAATTTAAGTAAACAAGAAATTTTAGGGATATTCATTTCCGGATGGTTATTTCTTTCTCAAGTGTAACAAGGAGGAGTCGCCATCGTTGTAATAAGCGTTAAATCGAGGCTTCTCCATATAATGATTATCCTTAATTCTCTTCGCCAATTCGTTAATTTTCTGCACGTAGCTATGGACATAGCTACGTGCATGGACATATCTATAGATGCTGTTAGCGGCCCTCTTTCAGTACTAGTTTCAGCTTTTCAGAGCTAGGATACGTTTTTTTAACGTAAATTAAGTTTAAGTCACCCTTAGCTATTAAGAGCGCAAGCGGGCACCAATATGTACATAGAGACTATTTCTACTCCTATTCTGAAGTTCAACTTCGAACTTATAGCCTTTTGTGCAAGCGGGCACCAATGTGTACATAGAGACTATTTCTACTCCTATTCTGAAGTTCAACTTCGAACTTATAGCCTTTTTTCCCTAAAGTCATGTTTTCAACCGACTAAATCACAAAGTACCATCACAAGTCAAGTGCGTGCTCCCAGTTTTTCAAAGGACCCATTAAGTTTTTCTGTAATGCAAAAGATAAGGAAGTGAAACGTAGTGCTAAGGAGGATAGGAGGAAGTGGTTAAAGGAGAGGGCTACAACAGCAAAAAAGGCCAATGAGAACGGTAGAAACAAGGAGCTCTGGTGAGAGCGATAGTAAGCACATATGAAGGGTTTGAATGCGCTGTGATCGCCGACGGATGCGAGGCATCAGACTGGTTCAAGATTAAGTCGGGAGTAAAGCAGGAATGTGTAATGTCAGTGTTCTGTCACGCGTGTCACGCGTCTATTACTTTAGCATTGGCCATGATATTGATTTTCCATGGATTTAGGGATTGTCATTGTATTGTCGTGCTCGCTGGTGAAAATCAACAATAAATCTGGTTACACTGACTGAAGAAGGATTTACGTCTCTTTTGTTACATCCAAGTTCAATTGAAGTGTCGGAGGATCTTGATTTTTCGGACAACAGCGCACTTCTTTCATCCAAGTTCAATGACTTGCGTGAGAAGACTGGGAGATTGATGAAGGAAGCAGCTAGAGCTGGCCTTAAACTTAATGAGAGAAAGTGCAAGACACTGAGGACTTAGTTTGTTAGGAACAGGGAGAACATTGTGGTGAATGGTGAAGAAGTGGAAGATGCCAAGGAGTTTGCGTATCTTGGAGCTATTGTAGACAAGGAAGATGGAGGCAATGAAGATGTTAGGAACAGATTGTAGAAGGCACAAAGTACATTTCAGAGACTATGGAAGGTGTTGTCGGCCAGAGAAATAGGAAGGAGAACCAACATACCCAGATCACAAAGACCGATGAAAGAAAACTGAATAGTTTCCAAAGCCAGTGCCTAAGACGGAAACTGAGGATGAGATGGCAGCAAAGAATGACAAACAAGAGAGTAGTTGAAATGGCAGAAATCAATGAAATTAGCCGCGAGGTGCGAAGAAGGTGGAACTAGTTGGGACACGCACTCAGGAGAGAGGGTGGGAACGACTGTTTTACGGCAATGGGGTGGACACAAGAAGGTCGAAGGGCGAGAAGGAGATCAAAGACCACTCGGAGAAGGACTGTCAAAAGAGAGAGGGGGGGAAGTATTTTGTAGAATCAAACATTAATTTTTAGATACAATAAGGTAACTGATTTGAGACAATCGTTTTGAGAAATATCACCATTGAGACCTCATTGCCAAAATTGTGTGGTCTCGGCTTAGTTTAAGGTGTTGCAGACTATCTGAGGGTTCAAACTTACTCATTCTACAAATCACCTCGATCGGTATCACTTGTTACCTGAAGATTTTTCTAGCTCTTCTTTCCTCGTTCGACAATGATATAAAATGTTCATTTTGAATCCTTTGGCTCGCTCAGAAAGTGCCCTTCCAATATTCCCAAAACCGACAATGCCAAGAGTTGAACCAGTCACTTGTGATGAAGAAAGTGAGCGCAAAATATTCTAGTAAAATAAAGTTAACTTCTTGTTAATTATTCTAGTGTAATACCCGGGGATCACTTAAATACCAAATACCTAAAATTGCCTTAATAAACTCCTGTTTATGTAACAGAAACTCAATGATTTCGTTGAAGTTAAACCCCTCTCTTACCTAAATGGCCTAACTCACTGACATCAGATTAGACTTCAAACAAAAAATGCCTCACAAGCCATTCGGCTGTGTATCATACATCTATTTCAGAGGAAACTAATGAATCTGCATCAATCTGCTCTTTAGGACAGTTCAAATACTAATCCCACCAGAAATGTCAACAAGAATGACCATTCATCTATGCATGCAAACTGGACAATTTCAAATGCTGACCTATAAATCCATCATATTTAATTTTTTCCTCTTCATTCGCACATCTCGGAGAAAATTAAACTAACGAATACAATTTTGCAAACAATCTAGATATTTTCGTCAACCCCCGGAAGTCTTCGGCACATTTTCGGAAATTTCCGTAAGTCGTTGGAGTATTTTCCAGAT